CAGCCAGTAAAGGACACCCTGGTGAGCAGCTGAAGGTCTCAGTGCCTGTGGGTTCTCCTTGCAGGGATGGCCACGATGTATGTGAGGTACAAGCAGGTGTGTGCCCTGAGCCCAGACAAACCCAGCACCCTCAGGCTGAACAGGATTGGCCTCACCCTGGGACTCATGAGCTGCTTTGGACTTTGCATTATTGCCAACTTCCAGGTTTGTGCTTTGCTTGCAATTTTCTCTCCAGTCATGGCTGTCTGTTCTGAGCTCCCTGGGAAATCTGGGCTGTCTGAAAGCAAAACTTCTAATGGCAAACTGCCTTTTTGGTCATATTCCCCCCAGAAAACTGTTAAAAAATGGGAGGTTTGGGTAAATCATGCTTTAGGGCAGGAAGATCTCCTGCCAGATTGGGGTGCAGGAGGCTGCCAGGCCTTGGGTTGTGCAACAGGCAAGATAACACTCCTTATTCCCTGTCTCTGGGGCCTGTGCTGAGCTGGAGATGACAGGAAAGGACTGTTCAGGGCATATATCTTAATCATAAGCTTAATTTGGGTTGGGTTTTTTGAGTATCTTCTAATGATTTTTGCTATTTGACAGTTGATGCTCCTGTCGTGTTTTTTGCTACTTGAGTCAACTTTGTTCCCTCAGAGTATTCCAAGATGCTAATTTGCCAAGCAATCTATTCAAACCAGAGTCACTGACAGAAGTGCTAAACCTTGTTGGATTTAATCCCAGCTTGGGTTCTAGAACTGTGTGTGTTTCTGTTGGGTTCCATAATCTTTCCTAGCTGTGGAGATTCCTGGGATAGAAGTGCTCAGCCTGTTGCCACTGCCTGCCCTCCTGCTGGGCTTCCCTCCCTCAGCTCCTGGGTAAGCACAGCTCTGTGGTTGATGTCCAGCTCTGACCTGTAACCACCACAAGAACCTAACAAAGCAGCAATTCCAGGCCTGGCAGGAAGGGTTGGCTTCCACACACCTCCCTCTGGAGCTTCCAAGGAAAATCTACTACTGCTAAAAGCCACTAGCACATTCCAGAACTGCTTAGCTTGGGTTGTGAGGAGGTTCTGAGGGGGTGAAGTGCCAGAGGGAGCAGAAGGAAACTGTTCTGAGAGTTAACATGAAACCAAGTTCTGCTCAAGCAATGTTCTCTCCCTAGAAATGCATCCTGTACTACATCCATGTGCTTGGAGCCTGCCTGACCTTTGGAGTTGGAGCTATCTACATGCTGGTTCAGACCATCCTGTCCTACCTGATGCAGCCAGAACTGCACAGCAAAGACATTTTCTGGGTGCGTCTGAGCGTGTTCCTGTGGAGCTGCTCCAGCATTGTCTGCAGTATCCTTGGCCTGGGCAGTGGCACCACAACTAGGCACCTGCTCTAACTCAACCTTCCAGCATGGAGCTGGGTCTGTACTGGGCCCAGGATTGTTTAAATTGCCCATCAGTGACTTGGCTGAGGGGTTGGTGCCTTCTCAGCAAGTTATGTTATGTATCAGATCAGAGTGTGTTAAGGGGCTGGAATGGATCTGAGAGATGATCCAGCCCCAACCCCTGGACAGGGACACCTCCCACCAGAGCAGGTTGCTCAAGGCTTTAGCCAACCTGGAATGAACACTGCCAGGGTTGGGGCAGCCACAGCCTCCCTGGGCAACCTGTGCCAGTGTCTCACCACCCTAACAGGGAAAACTTCTGCCTAAGATCTAATCTCAATTTCCTCTTGCAATTTCTCCCCATCACTCCTTGTCCTGTCACTGCAGTTCCTAACCAAGAGTCCTCTGCAGTTTCCCTGGAGCCCCTTCAGTTCCTGGCAGGTTGCTCTGAGGTCCCCACACAACCTTCTCTTCTCCAGGCTGAACAGCCCCAGCTCACTCAGCCTGTGCTCATAGGGAAAGTGCTCCAGTCCTCTGATCAGCTCCGTGGCCTCCTCTGGACTTGCTCCAACAGTTCCATGTCCTTGTGCTGTTGGGGACACCAGGGCTGTGTGCAGCACTCCAGGTGGGTCTCAGCAGAGCAGGGCAGAGCAGAGCAGAGGGGGAGAAACCCCTCCCTCCCCTGCTGTTTGACATCCAAAGCAGTTATCAAACCTTGAGCAGACTAAGAGGGAAACAGAATAGCCACAAAGCCTCTCTGCTGCAGGTGATACAGAATTCCAAGACAGCAACAATCCGAGGTGATTGTGACACTGAAAAGCCACCAGAGAGAGAGGTCTAGACTCTCAGCCTGGAAAATACCACTGAAATGAAACCAAATGCTCAGTAAGTTCTCCTATCTGGTCATAGCTTCCATGCTTTCACGAGGACACTGTTTGAACAAGGAGCAATAACAAGATATGGCACACAGAGAGTGAAGGTAATGGATTTAGGTTCAAATGAACCTCTTCATGTGCCCCTGGCACCAGTAGGCTGAGAGACCTTGTGGAAACAACACAGAAGTCTGACAGCCTCAGCTTTGCACAGTCCAGAGATGAGGCTGAACATTCCAAGTTCCTCATTCTTGACCTTGAATCTTCCTTAACCTCTTCCTGCACAGTGTTTGTCTCCTCAGTTTTGTTAAACAGTGGCTTGTATGGAGCTAACCTGATGCAGAAGATGCACTGGGACCCACAGGACAGAGTGAGTGACTGAGGGGGAACCAGAGACCAAACCCAACTGCAGCTGCAGTGAACTTCCTGCAGCTCCACACACCTCCAGGGGTGGGAGAGGACAGTGAGCTGTGCCAGCTGAGCAGCTCTGCAGCTCCTTGTAATCATGGAATCGCTGGTTTGGGCTGGAAGGGACCTTAACAGAAGATGCACTGGGACCCACAGGACAGAGTGAGTGACTGAGGGGGAACCAGAGACCAAACCCAACTGCAGCTGCAGTGAACTTCCTGCAGCTCCACACACCTCCAGGGGTGGGAGAGGACAGTGAGCTGTGCCAGCTGAGCAGCTCTGCAGCTCCTTGTAATCATGGAATCGCTGGTTTGGGCTGGAAGGGACCTTAAAGCTCATCCCATTTCACCCCACCCCTGCGTCTGCCCCTGCCCTCTGGCAATGGGAAGCCATTCCCTGTGTCCTGTCCCTGGATCCCTTGTCCCAAGTCCCTCTGCAGCTCTCTTGGAGCTCCTTTAGGCACTGGAAGGGGCTCTGAGGTCTCCCTGGAGCTTCTCTTCTCCAAGCTGGACACCCCCAGCTCTCCCAGCCTGGCTGCAGGACATAGGGCTCCAGAATCCTGGAGTGGTTTGGGATGGAAGTGACCTTCAAGATCATCCAGTGCCACCCCCTGCCATGGGCAGGGACACCTCCCACCAGCCCAGGTTGCTCCAAGCCCTGTCCAACCTGGCCTGGAACACTCCCAGGGATGGAGCAGCCACAGCTGCTCTGGGCAGCCTGTGCCAGTCCTCGATGGAGTTCTGCTCCCACAAACCAGTTGCAGCTTGAAGTGGAACTTCTGTTAACCCTGCTGCATCCAGAGAAGGCCATGCCAGCTCTCTGCTCCAGAGAGCTTTGTTAGTCATGCCAAGCTCTGGATGGAGCCTTCAGCTTTTGCAGGTGAGATTTAAACTCCCAGTGGTGCCATCCAGGTTGGAGCAGGAGATTCCCTGGTCATTCTCACTCTTGAGCACTTCAGCCTTGATAGCTCTACATCCACTCAGGAATGTTGCTCT